AACAATGTCCGGATACAACGTGGGCAGACTCTGCTACAATTGCCCTCTTCCTGTCGTCGGCGATTCTTTGTCTTGCTACGAGTGCTTTTTATCATACTTCTACCTGCCACCTCATCCCCGTGTCCGGGTTGCCACCCGTTTCCACACTCTCAACTACTCTGGCACAATGATTCTCGCAGCCGGTTGTCATAACCCTTGTTTTGTTTTTTTGCTTAATGAACTTATTCGACCAATAGGATCATTTTATCCGGGTCTCCACTTTGCTTTTTCTGCCATCCCTGCTTGCGGATTTTTTATGTCGTGTCGATATCAATTCTCGGTCTCGGGAGAATTGCTCGAAGGACGTAGTAACCCGGATTCAGGCGCTGCGTATATCGTTCTGACCCCCGAGTGCGCCAAACCAACTCATCGCGGCGCCCGAACCGTGTCTTTATCGGGCTCGGCCTCGCAGTTGTATTCGTCACTCGCTGCCTAATCACTGAGGGCTCCCACAAGGTACTCTCGGGACTCGGCTTTAGCTGGGTCCTTGTATTTGGAGCTCATCTCAGGAGCGTTGCTATAGTATGTCTTTGCCGTAGTCATGTATTCGATATGAGCTCAATTTTCAGCGCAAACCGGATCACTGAATGCTTGGCCCCCGGAAATTTGATTACTTCTTTGCATCGCATCGAATATTTCATTGCTGCGTTGTTGCTGGACATTCCCGCACTCGACTATTGTTGCTCCCAGCCAAATATCTGCACGGCTACTCGCATGTCTGGTGTCCTTTATCCTTGTGTCGTCATTCGTTCTGATAAGCCGTTTGCCAACCGACCCTTGCCTTCAATACTGCTGTCTCTGTGTCTATTACGAGTCATGTAATCCCATGTGCCAATATGATTGGTTTCGATCTCGACATCCTGCTCTATAATAGGTTTTCCTGCCACTAACCAAGTGATTCAGCCACTAATGACGGTTCAGAAGCTAGGTACTGTTATTTTCGGCCAATTATAACTCTTTTCTCGGAAACTGCGCAGATATTCGGCTTGCCCAAAAGGACGTGAAATCCATTCTTGTTTCCGTCACATGGTTGAATTGTCTGGTGGCTAGGGGCATCATGACCTATATCTGAGCCGAGACCGTTCAAGCTCCTGAACGCTAGGGCATCTCCGGGCAGCACGAGGCACGGCGCTGAGAGTAACCTGCTCAAGGCTGTGGGCGCGTAACGGCCCTTGTATTTTTCATATTCACAGTTTTTCACTTTATTTTAAGGTATGACGCCACCTCCTTCCATGAAAATCTCCAACCGGCAGTCCTCCTGCCACCTTTACGGCTTCTCCGTTCCCCCGTGTAGGCGGGTTGTCATCTGTTGTCATCCTTAATCTCCGTTCCGGTGACAAGAAGACGGGATGGGTTGTGTAGATCGCAAGCAAGCCATAGGACTCATGGCAACCCCGGTCTCTGCCTGATTTTTCTGGACCAACAGACCGTTCTTGGTATCAGGATTCCATATCTGTCAATTCCGATTTTTTTTAGGGGTCGAAATGTGACCCAAAAGTGCTGGTTCGTCCCCGTTTTTGGGGTCAAAACGGGGTGATTCTTACCCGTATTTTTAATCATCAAAAAATCAGAAGACAATCCCAACCTCATTTTCGGACTCCCCACACACTTTGGGCTCATTCCGGGATTTTCTCATGGGATTGCCATGGGTCCTTATGCCACCCGACCCGCGTTCGACTTCTGAATGGGATTATACGCCGCATGGAAGTACAAATGTTTTCCAGATTTGGCCCGGAGTTTCCGGCCGGCCTTCGCTTGGGCCTGCAGGCCGCGTCGTATAAAATGGGCACGCTCTGTGCTTGTCGTCTTCTCATTAACTCAACTGTCCACATTACTGCGAGCGCCTGCCTCTCACCTCGCTATGCCCTACATTATCGGCTTCCCCTCTGTTGTATCCTGCGTTCCTTTCCGCGGGCTTTGCAACTCAGTTCTCTGTTGCTGTTGTATTTTGTCTCGTCATCGTCCTCATTACCGCCTCTCTGCATGAAGACGGGAATGAAGCTCCCAAGTCTCTGCCGGGTCTACCATTCCTCTCGATCGTACCCTTTTTTCCGCCAGCGATACGACTTTCTAAACTGGGGCTTCCGTGTTACGGGTCAATCGACGTTTCAGTTCAAGTTGATGAACGTATGTTTTTTCGTAGGCTAGCCGCGACTCACCTAGATTGCTTGATGTTTGTTAGAACACCGTCATCGTTCTGTCGGGCGCATCGGCGCGACAAGCGTTTTTCTACTCGAAAGGCTTTGACCTTACAGAGGGGTTCAAGATTTTATCCGGCGCCGTACGTTCTTCTCTGACGTTGTGGTTGAATTTTTCTGACCTTGCGTTTTTCTTTTTCTTTTCAGATTCCCATGGTGCGCGGAGTGACCTCTGGCCTCCAAACGAAACGTATTTCCACAATTCACAAACGCCTCGCGGCTGTTCAAAGGAACGCCCCACTTAGCGAGCGTAAGCTTCTGTTTTGGTTCTAACATTTCCAGAGTTGATTCTCCTCCCAGTAATCCCTGCCATCCTCGAGGATTCCCGGCGAATCCTGGAGAGCTATGGAACGTCTGGCATTTTTGATCCCTTTGACAAGATTTACGAGGTCTACTTTGTTTATTTTGGTCTCTGTTTCGCCGCTGATTTTCGCAGCTCATGTTCCAAACGACGGTCCGCAGTCTCTCGTCCTCCGAAATCTCCGACGACGCGGCGCTCGTAGCCCGCTTGAAGACATTATATGACCGCCTCGACACCGGCACCACCCCCGCGACGGTGCTCCTCCCGTGGTTCCCCACTCCGGCGATGATCAAGAAAATATGGGCGACGAAGGAGATATATGACATCGTCGTGCGCGCCATCGACGCGCGCGAGCAGAGCGGGGTATCAAGGAACGACACGCTCCAGATGCTGGTGGACGCGGGGGACGAGAGGCTCGTTGTTGTCGGCGTATGTGATATTCATTTTCCCAAACTTGAACCCGCGGTATTGATTGACGTGTTCAACTTTACTCTAGTTCATCATGGGCCTGCTGATCGCTGGGGCTCGGGCGACCGGGACAACTGGTATGTTGCTTACATTGAATTATCTCCAGGCTACTCGACTGACTAATTTCTTCTCTCGAAAGCGTCCTGGATAGTCACATTTCTCGGAGGCCATACGGACTGGCGCCACAAAGCAAAAACGGAGGTTGAATCTCTGTTAGCGACGTATTCGGACGCCACCACACCGAGCCTCTCCGCACGCCTCGCAGAAATTCCGCTCGAAATCTGGGAATCTCAAACTCCTGTCCTCGACGCGATCATACGGGAGACTCTCCGAGTAGCCCAGCCGCACACCGCCATGCGACGGAACCTCGGGCCCGAAGTGCACATAAACGATAAATTGATACCGTCTGGCGCCTACGTCGTTTATCGTACGCTTGCTTACCTCCTCATCGCGCGTATGAAACATTCAACTAACACGCTATCTGTAGCTTTCAGCGATGTTCATCTCGATCCGGAAGTCTACCCCGACCCGTGGCGCTTCGACCCTTCCCGTAAAGAAGTCGAGCCCACCGCCGATTTGCCACTGCCGTATGTGGGATGGGGCGTGGGTGTGTGCCGCTCATTTGTGGCGTGAAGTTAGTTTACTCATCATTGCCCACAGGCAAAACGACGTGTCTCGGGACGCGCTTGGCCAAAGTCGAACTCAAGCTCACAGTCGCGCTCTTCCTGCTCGGCTTCGACCACGTTCTGGTGTCGGGCGATGGTAGCACCCCGGTGGCGCCTCCGAAGCCCAACTGGAACGACATCCTCCAGTGCCGGCCGCCGCATGGCGCGTGCTTCGTCAAATACACGCGCACTCCGCTCGCGTTGTAACTCGTAAATTGTGCCAATCGGCTGGCTCGCTTTCATTGTTTCTAGTTTAATAATCCTCCCCGCTGACAGCTGGGTATTCACTTATTTCGCACCGCCTTGTTATTGCGCCTTGATGGTTCTAGTAGTTCAATGAAGGTAATAAATAGAATAGATAGAATAAACCTATTTAACCCGGGCTTGGTTGAGAAAGTGCATACGTTCCCGGAACTCATTGAATATTCGGCGCTACATTAGTACTAATGCTACTGGGGGGGTGGATTTATTATACTCACGTGGTCCAAATGCAACACTCGGGGATGTCGGGAAGGCATCAACACGCTCCAACCACATGAGGAGGCTAAGAGATCTCGAACGAGTAAACGATGTTTTATCGATGATTCAACGAAGGGAGGCCTGTAGCAAGACCTTGACAACGGACGTTACTGTGTCGACCCTAAGTCTTTCAGCAACTTCTTGCCGTTGGGGCCTTCGGCACGAATAAGCAGGGGTGGCAACCGCCTGTTCGACTCGGGCCCTAGTCGTGTTGAAATGGTTTCTCAGTTTTGCAAAGAATTGCTCCCCGAACGGTTCAGCAGAACTTTGTGCGAAATTACGGATCGATTCGTCCTCACTTGCAGCTCTGTCAATGTTGGAAGTTGAAGGTTTAACAAGAACACGGTTAAAGAAGTAGAAATGCGCGCTATATTCGGCGCCAGATTGGGTGCAAGAGGATTTGGGACTGATTACCCCAAAGCGGAGTTTTTAAGGCCTCAGACAGCGTAATTTCATAAAGAGAGAGTAACATGATTTTGTCTTCTTCGATTTCGTACCCAGTTCCAATGACACTTTCACCAACTCGGTGATTGAGGCCGCATCCACGTACCTTGTAGAAGTCTGGGATGGTGCAAGTGAAAGTAAGGCCCGATCGCGAGTGATGCACGGCTACGATCGAATGTTTTCAGCTCGTACCCGAGCCTTGAAATTTTTGCCAGAGTCCAGCGGTTTAACTCACATCCATCGCCTGAAATCCAACTTTGAACCTCAGGCCTTCCAGGTTTGGCTCTGAGGAGATCAACTTCCGGACGGCCGATCGGCACAACTTACACTGCTTCCAAAACAAAAGACAATACCGGAACAAAAATTTGCCCACTAGCTGACTCGAACAACTGATCTTCTCATTTCGCATGAATATACGAGTGAGACGCCTTACCACTGGGCCAAGCGGGCCAAGCAAACAATCTTCGAATACGCCGAGGATATAGGTGAGGATAGAGCGTGTATGATAGATTCCGTGCCAAACTGCATCCAACAACCAAATGTATTGCTTTCGCTTAGCCTTGCTCTGCTTCGAGCTCCTGGGCACCGGCCACTCCACCCCAAGATGGTACATTGAAGTCGAAGAAAAAGGTAAACGGTCCCCGAATACACCGACCATATAGGTGAGGATAGAGCGTGTATGATAGATTCCGTGCCAAACTGCATCCAACGACCAAATGCATTACTTTCTCTTAGCCTTGCTCTGCTTCGAGCTCCTGGGCACCAGCCACTCCACCCCAAGACGGCACTGGTACCAGATCGCCCAGGAAAAGCATGCCCCTGCTGTGCTGAAACACAGGTTTTTTTGATTGAAATCCCATTGTGTAATATGATCAAAAAGTCCAGTACTAGATTGACTGCAGATTTTCAATGTGATTCTAATGCACCTGGTCCCAAGGCAATCCGACCAAAATTGAGTTCACACGAGTGTTCTTGCCGAAAATCATCGAAAACAGAAAAAAACGGTCCCCCGCCCTAAGTTCTGCAAAAGGCTTGTAATTCAAAAGATAAATTTTCGGTCATCTCGGTGAGAAAATTCTAAAAATAGTGAACCTTTTGTCTTAATAGTACTACACGGAAGAGACTCACAAGGGACGGGATGACAAAGAAAACTCAGAAAACCCCACACGTTTAACACCATGCCAACCCATCGTGGTAGAATGATTCAGATTTACCGCAATCTTGTATTAAATGGAGGCGCGGTACAGAGATGTAAACAATGTAAATAAAGTCTGGAGTCACAGGTGGTACCGATTGCGGGACGGCGGCAGCCAGCGTGTGTCACGGATGTCAATTGAGCATCAAAATTCGGACACAAAACAGAAGCGGCATTGCCCATGAGGGAAACGAGAATCAGATCTGTGATACGTATACGGATTGAAATCTATGGAGACATGGTCGAGACTCGCAACAGTTGAATCAGAACGAGTTAGAGCGACCGAGAGTTTGTAGAACATTTTTTGGACGAGGTTTGCAAAGGAAGGGAAGAATGGGTCTTTTTTATTCAGTCCGTGCTCAGACAATCTCACGATTGAGTCCCAGGATTCGCCAAGAACAGGGAAGAGAAGAATCCATGGCATGTTCCAGAACGAGGGGCTGATCTGTCTGTGATACGTAGACAAATTTGATGTGTCCCATGTCGAAGCTGAATATTGAATGCCTGGGGCCGTGGCGGTACCGGGTCTTACCTGTGATGATCAAAATCGTTCACCGTTCACTTTCTCGCTCCCTGTCTCGCTCCGTTCCTTCCTTGTTTTTGGAGTCCCACCGTGTATTGCCCAGAGTTTCTGTTCCCTTTCCATCCGAAATCTACGTCTAAATCGGCGAGATGCGCCCCTCTCGTAGGGGTGCCAAAGATACCGTTGCGCGCGGAAAGAAGCCGATTCCCTGCCGTCGCATTCGCTACCTGACTTACTCCCGGACCTCGAAGCGTGTTAATTACTGTACAACACTACGGATGTCCGTCTAAAGCCTTCGACGTCCCGGATTTAGTCCTTTGTTCCTGAAACTGTGAATACTCCCACAACAGGCGCCAATTTTGGTCTTCTCTTTCAAATATACTTCGGTCACGAGCCAGGTAACTCTATGAAGACGCCTTGCAGATGCCAGATATTTGATGACGAGGATAAATTATTCCGGGATAAATCTTCGGAAGGGGTCGGCCGACCAGCCTCTTGTACCGCTTCGAATTGGACAATCCAGCGCTACGCAACGCCATCATCGTTGCTCAGCAAGAGACCCAGCGCAGAGAAAGCAACACTCCAGAGGAGCTGGCCGCAATGTGCGTGTTTATTGTCCTTTTTTATATTGCATCTAACTACGTCCAAGAGTTTTACCACAATTATAGGCAATGCGAAGGGCTATGCAGTCAATTCCAACGGTAATAGGTTCAAAGGCGGACCCACTAGTGGCAAGGAAATCGCCGCAATGAAGCGTGTCCCATACCGCGAGGCCTGTTGGCTCGCTTATGTGGGCGGCTGTCGGGACGCGTCCTGACATCGCGTTTGTCGTTGGGGTTCTGTCAAAATTTCTTGACAACCCCGGGCAGGCGCACTGGGAGGCGGTGAAGCGCGTCTTCCGCTACCTTCAAGGCACGAAGGATTGGCGCCTCACGTACGGTGCAGGGAAGCGTGGGTTGGAAGGATATTCGGATTCGGACGGGATGTCCCAGGAGCACAGGCGAGCGATCTCAGGCTACGCATTCATTATTGATGGTGGTGCCAGGCTTCCCTTACCGCGTGTTCGACCGGCGTCAGTTTCTTTGCCCCAACTCGCACGGATGGTCCGAAAGTTGTACGCTTCAGCTAGGGCTTCGAGAACTCGGAATTTCTGATGCAGACCGTCGCCTCCGAGAATACAGCAAAGATACCTAGGTGAATCATTTGCTATTCAACCTCCTCTGCTCTTTCTCCGGTGAGTTTTTTCACAGCAACACAGTGCGTCTTGCGTTGCATGCTGGCAGCAGGTGCGTGTCCTTTTCGTCTGGCATTGATTCTCCTCTCCTCCGGGACTTTGCAGCCACAATGAACCACTCATTGTTCTCTTCGACACCCTTGCCTGCGTGGCTCCAGCCCTCCTCGCTGGAAGAGTTCCTCGATGTCGTCTCAGCAGCGCTCAATTCAGACTCGCCCGCCCCGCCATTGGCGCTTTCTTTGTGCACCTCGTCTCCTGCCCTGCAGCGAAATAAGTCTTTGCGCGCCGCCGTCATCCTGCTACGGCATGCTTCATCCGCCATGTCGTGCCATTTGGGCCGCAGCAGCGGTGGAGGCGACCCACGCCTTATCTCCCTCTAGCGGCGATGTACGACCGCGGCCTGGTCGCTTCTTCCAGCTCCTCCTTCACCTGCGCGTCTCCGCTTTCCTCATCTTCATCGCGATCCCAGGTCGCCTCCGAAACGCCCTGCGCATCACCATCCGCATCCGACTCATCACACGCCCCGGCCCTCACCTCCGAGGAGTGCGTCCGTCACGGTAGACGCGCCGTTCCCGTAAGACGATGCTGGTTCGGATCCAGATCCATCCCCGAATGGCGCCGTGCGCGTCGTGCACCATTCGTGCGACGCCCTCCCGTTTTCGGCTTCTCACAGTCCGCCCTGCCTGCTCCGCCACGGGGGGTGGGCGACACCGACGCCGATTCCGAGTATGCGAAGGACGGGTCTGGGGAGGGGATTCCACGAGACGAATGAGCGAGACGCGCAGGTGGACGATCAGGTGTTCGTGTGCAGGAGGAGTCGTACCGACTCGTACGAGGAGCAGGATTGGACGCTCGCGCTCCCGGCTCTTCCGTCTCCCACCCTCGCAGACGTCGTTCGACGCACCGCGCGCACCGATTCTGCTTCCTCTCGCCGGCCCTTCCTCCTCGTCCGCTCGCACGTTCGCTCTGGCGCACACCGACAACGCATTCCCTCCTTCCTCGTGCGCGCCCCCACCGCGCGTACCTTCCCCATCACGCCTGCGCCCAAGGCCAAGGCCAAGGCCCGCACATTTAATCTTGTCTGTGATCGTCGATCCTCCGCATCCCGCCATTTGGCGCAACACCCAGTCCACGAACTGGAGTAGAGAAATGGCAGCCGGCACGGGCAGATGGGGAGGAGCACATACCATTATGATGCGTGCCCAATTGAAACTAGTACTGAGGACGGCGCGGAGATGAGTGGTGAATGCGAATGGGGACGAATGCAGTCTGGCCGGGCAGGTATGCTCATGGCACGGGGGGATCTAGAGCCGACGCGTTCGTGTTGCTTGCGGTTGCTCATACCTCTGTTCACTGTCCTTAGTCCTCCCGACCTGCTCTACCTAGATGCTAGCATCCTTCCCATGCTTCCTGGATCTGCCAATCCACCCCTTCTCTTGCATCTAAAACTGTCAGGATCGCGTCTAAGAAAATGGGCCTACTATCTGAAGCACCCCCAGACAGGAAATAATAAACTGCAGGCGGCGAAATTTACACTTCTGTTGAACTCGAAGATGTCTTTGATCCGCATAGCACTTGAAGACTTTCTCGATCGAAGCTCCAGATCTGTGACGGAAGTGTTGAGAACGAGTTCCGGCACACTGGGGGCGGCGAATCTGACTTGTAGTAGATTACAGGTCGCTTATATACTACAGTAGCTAGTAATATTGAATTCAGGGACAAGACTCTGCATGATAGTATTGCGGAATGAGTGGGTGTGGACTACCCATGAATTGACGTGTTGATTGAGTATTTTCTAGTGGTAGAAAAGGTTGAAATCGGATCAGATTAGGAAACCAGCAGAAAGGAAAGGAAAAGATCTGAAAACCTTAAGTTTACCGTCTAAACCCGAGTGGAAGGGGCGATCGCTGCTCATGCCGCTTTCCCAGATAATGTATACTGTAGACTTTCGACCAAAGGTTCACTATTTTTAGATTTTTTCTCTTCCGAGAAGACCGAAAATTTTCTTTTGAATTAAGGCGATTTTTGCACACATCAAAAAAAGTTGGGTGTCACCTAGACTCGTAACCAGTCTGCCTACGCCGTTCTAACAAGGCGGGCTTGTTGCCGTAGGCAGACTGGTACTTCTCGGATGTGTCAATCGAGCGGGGGCGGAGTTTGAAATTAAGTTAGTGAGGCCGATGACGCAATGATGCAATGAGCTGCGGCAATTCCGGAGATCACGGTCCGAAGTTGATCGCCACTAAAACTACCCTCAGGTTTTACGGTGTTCTGTCCCACAAATACAAAATGTAAGGAGGCAAAATTGGAGGGATACAATTTTCATTCATTCCCCGCTTCAACCAAAAAATAAGCTTCAAAATTGAGCACAAAATGAGTAAGATTTTTAAAAGGTCACTTGAATTTCAAACTCGCGACAGCCCTTTTGGCGGCTCCGAGAAGTACCAGCCTGCCTACGGCAACAAGCTCGCCTTGTTAGAATGCCGTAGGCAGGCTGG